TGGAGAAACCTTGTCAAACAGAAGAGTAATACTTTGGCCTTCCACCCCACAGTCTATAAAATAAAGTCATTGAACTAAATAATTCTCAGTGCAAAAAAATTTTATGAGGGGAAAATAGAGATTTTATGATTTGATGGATAAATATGATAATATATTCTAGAACTAGTTCCTTTAAAATTTGGATTGAAGAATATTTAAAGAAGACACTGTTGAAGATTTTCATTTTGCTGAAGGGCCATCTTAGTGGGATGTTTTAGTCTTTAATATTTCAAATAGTTTTTATTAAGTGAAACATTGTTATACAATGAAAAGCTCACCTAGGTAAATATACTAGCAAACTAGATTACCTCTTTTTGGTATTATAGTAGTTAAGTGTATAAAGAAGAGGTGATTGAGCAATTTTTCTGCAAGGTGCTGTTGAAGTTTTAGACTAAGATAATTTCATGAGCTCAAAAACCTTATTTTTATTGTTGCTGAAAGTTACTAGGATTTTTTTAGTTGTATTATAAGAGTGAAGTCAATGTCATTTTTTGTATAAAAGGTAAGATAGACATTTGTGACCTGAGCTGAGTGTTTCTATCATTTTATTGTCCTATTGAGTATAATTGTGAGTATATAGTAAATAATAAATATTAGTGGAAGAATGAATGGATTCTTTATAACCTGTTTTCCTCTTTTCTATACTTCAGTCTCATATTCTTGTGCCAGACAGGGCTTCCAGAAGTTAGCTACTCACAATATGGAAAATATCAAATTGAATTCATTGTTGACAGTATAAAGAACAGATGTTATTATAAAATAAAGAAAAGAGAATTGGTCAGTGACTAATTACATGATATTTTGTGAAGTCTGTGTGGATAGAAATAGCAATGGAAAATTTCTACAAAACAACCTATATAACCATGGTCTGAAATGTGTGCTTTTGTGTTATGGGTGTATGTGGTCTAGTATTTAGTCATCATTTAAAACTACCCAGTAATTAATAACTTCTAAGAAATTTCAAAACTTTGGTATATAAGACATGAACTGTGGTCATTAAAGTTCCTATCAATATTTTTTTAGTTTACATTGAAATATAACTTCAAACAAAACTCTGCTTCAGATTTTTTATTGTAATATCACTATTTACACTTTATTGCTAAATGTAAACAGAAGAATTTCAATAGTTTAACTACCTTAAAGAACATGTTCTGTGGTAAGAGACCTCAAGTGCAACCAAAATGAAGTTGCTATTACCAAGAAACCTACAGGCCATGTTCTGAGTATATATATATATGAAACCATGTATTTTAATCCTATTAAAAATAATAAAACAAGGAAAGGAGCTTTTTAAAGTAAAAGGCAAATTGTGTATGGTTTAATGATTTTAAAGAGAAATTTATTCAGCAAATGTTTATTGAGCAAGTACTCTGTGCCAGCCACAGTTCTAGATAGTGAGGATAAAGTAGCAAACAAAACTGACAAAAATCCCATCCATTCTAGCCAGTCGAGACAGACAATAAACAAGTCATGTAGCATAGTGCCTGGTTATAGGTGCTATGGAGGAAGGGAAATAGAGCATGCTGAGTGGAGATGGGGCTGTGAGGTGTGTCAGGCACTGCAGTCTGGAAGGCTTTTTCTGAGAAGATGCTGTTTCAGAAAAGACCTAAATAGTGGAAGGGAGTAAGTGATGCAATGTCTGTGTGAAGATGGTCAGGAGTGGGGGAAGAGCAGATACACACACCCTGGGCACCATATATGGGGGGAGACACAAAAAACTGGAGTGATCTTCCGGAGGGTGGGTCCTTGTAGTATATATTCTTCCCCTGCTAGGTGAGTGTTCTCGGAACCCATTGATATCAGTTTACCAGTTGGCATTGTTGTGAGGCTGCATTTGGCTTCAGTGAGTTTTTGAAAACTCTTTCAACATATGTGCCTATTTAATGATGGGTACATTATGAGTACACCTGCCCATACTGCACTGAGTGTTCAGCAGTTTTTGATTAAAAATGGCATGACCCCCATGCCCCACCATCTCTATTCACCCAGTCTCCCCCTAAGAGACTTTTTTGTTTGTTTGTTTCTCTTGATGGAAAAAAAAATCCTTAAAGGGAAATGTTTTGCTGATGTGGAAGAGATGAAACAAAAATAGCAGAAGCACTAAAAGGCATCAGAATCAACCAGTTCAAAAACTGTTTTGAGCAGTGTAAAAAACATCTATAGGTGTATTGTACTTTGAAGGTGATTGAAGGTTTAAACATGTAAGAATATATACACAATATTTTATAAATAAATTCTGGGATTTTTTGGGTCCCCCCCTCGTACCTAGCACTGCTTGAGAGAGACACACATTGGTCCAGTGTGACTGGATCAGCCAGAGTCAGGGGCGGGGAGACTGAGTAGTAGAAGAACAGGTATGAGGTGGGGACACCGGCCTTGTATATCTTTGTAATGATTTTGGCTTTTACTGGAGGGTGGGAAATCATTGGAGGATTTTAGGCCCAGGAGTGGCTAACTTGTACTTTTTTTTATTCTTTCTTTTTAAAAAGATTTTATTTACTTATTTTTATAGAGATGGTAAGGGAGGGAGAAAGACAGAGAAAGAAACATAAATGTGTGGTTGACTCTCATGTAGCCCCCACTGGGAACCTGACCCACAACGAAGGCATGTGCCCTGACTGGGAATCGAACCAGTGACCCTTTGGTTCACAGCCTGCGCTCAATCCACTGAGCTACACCAGCCAGGGCTAACTTGTACTTTTTAATGAAGAGAATACATAACTGCTTAGTCACCCATGTTGGGGGTTAGATGATTTGAATTGGGGGGGAAAAACAACTATTCTCTAGTGTAGTGTAAAGAATGACTAAATAAGTCTCTACTCATTAAAATTGCTTTGCTAATTTTTTTAAATCTAACAATAATAAGAGTCTATTATGTGTTCGGATCTGTATTAAGCACTGGGGGATTCAACACTTAGTAGAACATGGCTTGTTCTCACAGAATTAATAATCTAATGGTAGCTTTTTAAAAATCCTGTATAGTTAAAGTGTTCAAGAATAAGGTTTATTTTATTGCCCCTAATTTAATGAGCTCATATGCCATGTCAAGCACTGTGCCAGATGCTGGGAGGACCAAGGAGATACATTTCCTTCCCTGCCACGGGGTATGTTCCGTCTAAAAGTAGGACCATAGGAGTGAGGCATCCATGACTGATTCACTGTGCTGTCTACATACCTCTGCTGTCCTGTCCCTGTCATCTTTCCTATAAGACTGTAAGAGGCTGTATCTTATGCATCTTTATATCTTCAGACCTGACTCAGTGTCTGGCACTTGGGTGTTTACTAGTTGGGGTTTTCTTTATTCTAGCATTTACTACTTGTTGTAGATGTCCTGGTGATCCTCCTGCTGTTGATCACATTTACAGTGTACATTTGCTTTTGTTTTATTTTTAATACTAGAATTGAAAGCACAGTGGATATTTTTTTAAATAACACAATCTCTGTCAACTATGGGAAAACACACAAGAGACCAAGGGGGTCCTGTGTTTCTACAAAAGGGTAGTGAGAACATTTCTTTGTGGAAATGAAGAATATTTCTTATATTTTCTTATGGTAAAGAAATAGTTCTTTGTATTGATGCCACTCCCCCACACCCCCCACAAAATGGAAAAATAAAAATAGACTGAGTTATTATGCCAAGGGTTTAAATGGAGAATGGGTGCAATTCTAAGTCCAAACCATTCTACTCACTCATGTTGTCTGGCTGGCCCTTGTAAGAATGTGAGTTTTTGATGGAGCTAATTCCTTGGGGTTAGCAACTATTTTTTACTCATAGGTATAGATGGAGCTCCTGTACCTGGCCTACTGCCTCTCACAGAGTTCCTGAGTGATTCATTGAAACAGTGAAACTCAGGTAGCTTTCAGGGCAAAGAAGAGAGCTACCAGCCACCAAGAGGATTGGAGAAATTACTGAAAAGAGTTGAGTTCTGTCATATACCATAAGTTTCCTTAACAGGATAGTGGAAAGAACATTTAGGTTGAAGAATAACTTGTATCAGTGAATAGTTAAAAGGGCCTAATGTGCCTATGGAGAATCTTTGGGGGCAGTGGGGTGAGAGGGCAGGGAATGTGGAGGACTACATTTGTGGGAAACTTCACTAATAAGAAAAATTTTAGGGCTTTGCTAATATTTAAATTTCTTCTTTGGATACTGGGAGCTGTGGAAGGAAAAGTTTTAAACAGTGTTGTAACATGATTAGATTTGTGTTTTGAGGAGAGAATACTGCTAACAATGTTGAGATGGATTAGAGAGAAGACTTTGTCTTATGGCCTATGACTTTTGAATATGTCCAGTTGAGGCTATCAAATTGAGTTTCATAACCCAGGTAAGGGGACAGGCAGACAGTTTGGGACTGACTTCATTGTCTTAATTGAAGCCAAAGAAGGCTTGTGATTATACAAGGAGAGACTGGAGCAAGAAGAAAAGACTATAATGGAACCCTGGAGAGAGTAGAAGAGTGGTAGGAGAAATCATAGGGAGACCAGCAAGAAGCAGGGATTAAGGCAAAATGAGGGAGGAATTTGTGGAATGGAGGGCAGGAGTGGTATGTGGTTTCATGTGCTGTGGTGATACATGGACAAAGTCTGAGATGAGGCTTTTGGACTTGACCACGATGTATTATGTTTGTTGCTTTTGGTTTGTCTAGTCTCTTTTATTACATTTTAAGTTATTCATTGGAAGAATCATAGCAACAAATTTAAATTTTCTCACAATGCCTGAAAATTAATTAGTAGATGCTAAACCACTTCTTTGCAATAGTTTTGGAATAGTAGACAAGAATTAAATAAGTACAAATTATTTCAGATGCGACGCGAATACAGAAAGCAAATTGTGTATCTAAGACCCTACTTTTCAGACTGAAGTAAAATTATAAGCAGTGTTACATCAAATACACCTTTGCCATTGGTATTTTTAAATCAAGTATTATATTATAGTGATTTTTCTTTATTTGTTTGCATAGCCTGGCACCTGTGTTTGCTCTGTTTGTACCATTTTACTGCTCCATACCGAGAGTCCAAGTGGCACATATTCTGGGCCCGTTGTCCATCTCAAACAAGACATTGATTTATATATTGGGACTACAGGTATAGTATGCATTTTTATGTTCACGTTTCTTTAACTAGATCTTTTTTTTGGTCTTTTTCTCATTTGATCTCCTTGAAAACAATGTTTTTTCCCCATAAGTTTGGCTTCATGATCTATATCAAATGTTCAAAGGAAGTGTTATAGAATGAGAACATCAAAGTATAAAAGGTACTAGAATACTTTCATAGACTTTAGAATCTGATAAGAGTTTTCACTGTAATATGTATCAGTGGAAAATATTTTAATTTCATTGTACAATTGCGTATAAGTACTTTTTTTAAAAAATCATAGTATGAAGTGGAAACATATGAGAAGAGTCAAAGGTAGAAAGTGGAAAATCACTGTCAAAATTAATTTGTTGAATATGGTGTCACAAATAAAGCTCTGAAGACTAAATTAGATCTGCTTTACCAACCCGAGCTTTGGATTTTGCTAGAAGTGTTATCAACTTTATAATTTTTGTCTTGCATAGACATGATAACAATATTACCATCTGCTAAATGGTTTGATGTGAAGACCATTGGGGTGCTTATTATTTGACTTAAATTGAAAAAGGTTATTTTCACTAGTATTCAGTAAATATTGATCACTCTTTTGGGTTCCAGGCCCACTGGTAGATGATACATATGATTTTTAGTTTTTTATCTATAATACTTGTCACTTGCCTTTCATTCTCATAGCTTTTGATGTAAAACTTTTATTCTATTTTTTGTAGTACCATGTGTAGCTTGGCCTTTTGATCCACTGTTAATGCTCATAACATTCCTTATCCCACACATATCAAACCGGATACTAGTGTCTCTGTAAAATGCCCTCCTCCCTCCCCTTTTAACCTTTAGCATTTCCTCTAACTTCTCTAGTCTGCTGTCATGTGTTATCAACGGCTCATCTGGGGTGGATTTTTTTTTTTTTTACTTTTACAACCATTTCTCATGAACTATATTTATTCTTCATCTCTCAACCTACATAGCATTACAGTGTCCCTATCCTTCCTAATATTCTTATAACCTAATGGCACATTTCTATAGATTACTGTTATTACTAGGATTTGCTGTGACATGTTTTTTTTTTCTTTTTTAAGATGTTACAGAGAGTGGTAGAAGAGAATCATGGACCTGGGGTGGGAAACCAAAGTTCTAGTTCTAATGTGGCACTCACTACCTTGTGACTTGGGTTACATTATAGAAGTCTTCTGAGGCTCATGTTGACTCTATAGTTCTATCCAGCTCTAATGTTATATACCATCTTTGAGAGTGAAAAACATTGTTTTGTTAATTATGGACTAGGAATTCAGTGGAGCATTGTGTAAAGTCTTTGGAACCAAGTGGACTTGGTTTAATTACTTGCTCTGATAATTATTTACCTTTTCTGAGCCCTCATCTCCCCAGGTCATTTGAAACATTAGAGATAATAGTATTGGGTGTTTAGAGTAATGTGGACAGATAATAAAAATTAAGCCCATTGATTCTTATTAATCAATAATCTATGTCTCTATAGCTATCACCATAGATGTTCTGAGATTATGTGAATTTTTTTGTTTTGTTTTTTTGGTGAGGTAGAAGTTGATATCAGAAAGTACAGGTGGAGATGCCTTAATTGGCTTTTTGGTAAACTCTAAAGTCCTTGGCATGAATGGTATCCAGGGTTCTTTTTACCTATCCAGTATCAACTCCCAACCCTCCCCATCTTGAAGTGAGTATCAACCCCTTATTCCCAAAGTTTTTGTTTCCTCTCTCTCCCTCCCTCCCCTTTAAATCTTTGCACATGTTTCTGTTCCTTACTGTCTTCCACAAAGCAGCTTCTTGAAGCCACAGACATTTGATAAATGAATGAATGAATGAATGACTTTAATCATTATCAGAAAAACAAAAATGCTTGAGAGCCAGTCATGAAATGCCATATGCTAGGGACTGTGGAGGATAAAATGGAATTATACCTGTTGTCAAGGAGCCCAGCAATGAGAAAAAGCATACACACTGTCAAAACATAAGCAGACACAATTGGGACCAAACATACAATAAGATGAGGGACTTAAGAGTTCAAAGGAAATAATTTTTTACCGATACAACTGATATGCTTATCTTTTTTATGTATGAGACATAGTTGCATGGAGCAGTTATGACACAAGGCTGTGGAGCCAGACCACTTGGGTATACACTCACAGCTCCACTACCCACCAGCTCTTTGACCTTGAGCAAATTACTTAACATCCCCATTTTCTCATAGGTAAAATAGAGGTAATACTAGAACTTACCACATTGGGTGATTAGGAAGATCCAGTAAGTTTAATATATGAAAAGCGTTAAGGTCACAGCTTGGCACGCAATAAGCGCTATGAAAGGATTAGCTATTTTATTGTTCTTTATATTTTTAGAAGAAAACTACAGGAAAATATTTTCTTTTAAATAAGTTAATTCTTATCCTTGTTATTGTCAGTCATTTACACTGAAGAGGGATCCATGCATACTAGATCAAATAATTGAATTTTAGATCAAGGGATTAAATTTAAAGTTGCAACAAACATTCATTTTTACTTAAGCTAGCACTAGAGCAAAGCTGGTCGGCCACATTTTACCTGTGCTTTGTCATCTCTTACCTTTGTGTATGTCTTCTTGCTGTGTATAAGTTTTTTTCTGTGTATCCTTGATAAATGTATAGAACTTCAAGGTTTAGCACAATGTCAGCAATGAACCTGGGTATCTTGCTTCTCTCTGTATGAACAGAAGTACTTAAATTTCTGATCTAAAGATCTAAATGTGAACAAACGCTAGGCTACATATCTTTACTTTCGTGCAGGAACACTTTGAGATAGATGTCTTACAACTTTTTAAAAACCCTTGAGTACAATACTTAAATGTAAATGATTTAGAAAGCAAATGGAGAGATTTCATAAGACTTAGTTCTAATTACTTTTGCCATTTAACTTTGATATCATTACTTAGTTTACTTTTCCATAGAGGAACTGGAATGAGAATATCAACAGTTAAATAGAGTGGCATTGAACATGGACCTAATATGCTTGCAGAGAGGTCTTCCCATCTAAATTTAGAGTACCAGTGATGAGGAATAAAAATGAGAGAATTATGTAAACTAATATTACATGTTATTACCTAACAACAAGGTTTGGATGGTAACTACTTATTTTTTATGTTGTTAATTCTAATAATTCCTTTATTTGTGGTATTTTACTTTGTTTAATGTACATTTGTAAATAAAAGTATATGTGAATTTTACTTATTTTTTTTGCATGGTAGTGAGCCAGGTTCAACCAATCCACTTTAGGCTATGAAAGGTGGAACTCTTGGTTTAAAAAAAAGTGAAATTAATACATTATTGTCTTTTAAATAACAGAATTGATATTTATTAATATCTATTTATTTATATTATGATATATTAGTAATCCTTACCATAAACTGTTATGATTATAGTTATATAAAAATTAATAAGCTGTGACTGGCAGTTGAATTTCATTTTTAGTTGCCTTTCTTTTTTTTTATAGCTTTTCACCTCTGGTTCCTACATCTGGATTGTAGCCATAAGTGGACTTGTAAGTGTGATTCCCTCTTCTCTCTGTTTCTTTTCTGAAGAAACTTTAGGAAAAATGTCATATTTAGATTATGGGTCATATTCAGTTGTCTCCAGCATTTTTTAAACCCATGTTAGGTCCTGTCTCAATGCTAATTCCTCAATGATAAAAAAGGGCTAGTTACATGAATAATTTAGAGGCCCATTTGTCTTAGTTTTTAAGGAAATTTTGATGAACATTTTAACTGAGTTTCTTGTCGGTATTATTTTTAAATTGCATTAGTAGTTTAACTCATAATAGGAAAAAATGACAGAGAAAGAAAATGAAGAAGTTGGGTTTACTAACAATAATGAGAGATATTCTGCTTGTTTTGTAAGGAGACATTGTCATGCAAGGGAAAATAATAAGGCCAAGTGGAAAGTCAGGTGGATTGGAACTGACAAAGGACTCATCAGGGTGTGTGGTCAGAGAAGGTACACATGAATGAGCTGAGGATTTGGATGGTATACTCATCCTTTGTACTAGAATGTCTTTATCTCATCCATCCCCATGCTGTTCTATATCATTTCTTAAAATTTTAGTATTTGTCTTAAACTCTACTTATGGGGTATTTAAAAAGACATCTAGAACATGAAATTGAACTTTGTTTTTCATTCATGAGTTAAATTTGAACTCTCAAATTTATATAAACATAAGTTTATAACATATATATGGAATATACCTTATTTTTTGGACTCTAAGATGTACTCCCCCCAAATTTGAGGGGAAACGGGGGTGCGTCTTATAGTCTGAATGTAGCTTACCTGGCTTGCTGTGGGGTGGGGGCGGCGGTATAGCAGGGTCATAGGTTATTAAATATTTTACCACATTTTTTGCTTCAAAATTTTTTTCCCTATTTTCCTCCTCTAAAACTTAGATGCGTTTTATGGTCCGGTGCGTCTTGTAGTCCGAAAAATGGAGTCGTTTTAATTTCTTTCATAGAAAAGACTAAGAAAATTACAGAATAGATTTATAGTAATATGTAAACATCGAAGACACCTTTGGAAATAACTGTACATTCTACTGTAGACAGTTTAATTTTAAGTAAGCTATCACTATAACTTGTTTCCTGGTAAATGATATTCTGAGCTACTGTGTTATTACTTTAAGCCTTCTCACTTTTCTTCTCCTTCCTTTATGCTCTCTATATTATTTCTTTTGTGTATTTTTTTCATATACAACTTAATCTTTCATTCCCAACAGCTTACAGCCAAAATTCTGGGGATTGAAATCACTTGGTTTCCCCCTCCCTAAGTACTTTCTCAGATACCCAGACACCGGATTTACTTCAGGACAATGATGCTAAACTCCACTGTGAGGTCTTTAAACCATCTGAGCCACCTGATATTCTTAAGACTTGTGGTGACTTAGAGACAGCCTAGGGTCAGACTGAATCTATGGAACACAGCTGCCAGGCTCTCTCTAGTCTAATGTCATCCCCATATGACCTACCAACTTATTTTTTCTTGCAGTAGAACATTTATTTATTTATTTCATGAACACTCAAAGTTTAGTTAGTGAGAAATAATTTTAATAAAAGGTTGTACATTTTCTTCCCACATATCTTGCTTTCTGTTAGGAAATCACATTGTGATCCATTTTACTACAATATTACAAAATATTTACAAAAAATATTAAAATAAACAGAAGGCAACATGGGATAAAATAAACTGTTCCCCTTACCCCAGAATATCTACTTCAGTGCCCACAGCACACAAGAGAACCAGAACATATAAGTAACGAAGATTTCCCTGATCACAAGTTTCCAAAGAATTGGAGAGGAAAAGAAACAGTATGAAAATGGTGGCATGAAAGGGAACGGATGTTAGCAGAACTGTTTCAGTAACCAATAATGCTCTCTCTTATATGCAGCAAATTCTGAACAATGCTAAACTTTAAGATATTCCTTCAGCTAAAGTTAAAAAATACTCTGACAGTGAAAGTAGCTCTTTTGCCTAAGCTTCCTAAGAGCTTCTTTGTGCATGAACCAATGATGTGAACAGAAGCATGTTTGGGCATCAAAGTTGTCATGGACCCCTTCCATCTCCTTCATAAAGTCTTCATACACTCATCCTTAGTTTGTGCCAACATGGGAACAAATGAACCATACTTGGAGTCTGCTTTGACAAGAGGCATAGCAGAATCATCCTCTGACTTTCTTTGGGGAGCAGCAGTAGCCCTTTTTTTCCCCTGGACCCTCACTGCACTGGGCACAAATCAAGTAATCTCTGCCTTGGGATTAGTGATTTGTGACTTGGCACTGATGGTTGCTGTGGCATCCTTCTCAGTGGTGGCTGCACTCATATCATCTGCCTTGGGTAACTGAATCAAGTTGGGTGGAGCACCTAAAATTCCTGGGTTTAGCAAGGGACCCGAGGTTCCCAGGTTGGGCAGGTCTGAGTGGAGTCACCAAAGGTGGACTCATCTTGCCAGGAGGAGGTGGAAGGATACCTGGAGGTGCAGGGGGAGGTACCCTTGGTGGGGGACCCCAAGGAGGAGGGCCAGGAGGCAAACCTAGAGGTGGACCTGGTGGAAAGCCAAGGAGTCGGCCTGGTGGTGATCCTGGAGGTAAAAGTTGAGGTAAAGGCCCTCAGACTCCTGGCATTCCAGGTAGCCTCGGGGACAGAGGAGCTCCTGGAGGTGGCCCAGGTGGCTGTAAAGGTGGAGCAGGAGGTGGCCCAAGAGGAGGTGGTCTTGGCATAGGAAGTTTGTATCTGAGAAGGGGAAACAGATGGTAGGGGAGCTTGTTGCTGTGAAGAAGCAGATGCGCCATCAGAAAGAGATTCATTCCTCTTTATGCTGTTTTTATGATTGCTTTTCTGCTTCAGAATCATCAAAATCACCTTTGTTGTCGTCCTCTAAAAATTCCTCTACTTCCCCACCCTCCTCAGGGATTTCCTGACCTGCCAATCAGAGTATCACAGCTCAAAGAGGAGTCAACTCCTTAATGTTCTTTTTCTTCCTTGATTTCCCAGGCGTATCTGCAAATTGTACTCTCAGACCTGGGTTTTTTTTTTTTCTTCATTGTTGTTTATTTCAGTATCATCATGGTGCACAAATTCATCCCTTTTTCTTTCTCCATCTGAGCTGTCAGTGTCACTGTCATCAGTACTGTCATCATGCTTATCTTGATCCATGCCTCAGATAGCCATCATCTTCACTGGTGCTGGAAACATCATTATCATGACCTCATTGATCCAGTTCAGGACTATGTAACGTGTCTTCATCTTGCCGATGAGAGGGCAGATCTAAGGCAAAACCCACTTTATGGCCATACATTTGCAAGACTTGAGGAGAAAGTAGACTAGGGGTGGACCTGGAGCAGACCTGGAGGTTTTCTGCCAGGAGACAATCATGAAACAGCTTGTCCAAGAAGAAATTGGAATGTCCTGGATCAAGATGTTGCAAGGAGCATGTGGCATAGCTGGCAAAGGAGTACTATCCACTTCCACATGCTAAACATTCTTGGCAGCACCAAAATATTGGCCAAGTTGAGCCCTTTTCTATTCATATGCTACTTCTAGCTTTCTCAGTTCTTTGTAAATATCTGGATTCTCTTTTTCATAGAGTGAGAGAACACATTCAAAGGTTTCACTCAGCTTTTCACATTTGTCTTTCAGTACCTTCTCATTTAACTGTAGCTGTCGCAGTGGGTTAAACCTATCTCACCCAGTTTTTCCATGTCCCAGGTAATCTGCTTGGGATCCTTCATCTTCAGAACTCCAGCTCATACCATCACACACTGTTTTATGTGCTTTTTTAAAATTCTCTCCTCCAGGCTTATTTTTGGGCCTGGTTGGTGGGGTTCGTCAGGTTTCCACTTGTGGTGGATGTTGTACATCTTCATCCCATATTGACAATCTGTATGGTTCACTTGTTGATTTAAAAAAGAACAGTATCAACATAAGAATGTCCAAACACTTCCACTGGACTCTGGGACTGTGAGAAGTCAGGAGGGGACGATTCTCTGTCTCTTTTACTTCGCAGAGGCCTTCACCTCTGCTCCCAGTCAGCTATCCAGCTACTGTCCTCTTAAAACCTCACGCCCCTCCTCCATCCCTGCCTCACTTCCTTTGCCTATGGGAGCTAAGATCTCTAAACTTCCAGCTTGATTGACAGCTATGTAACGAGCCTGCGAAAAATAGTTCATTGCTTTCATCCTTACAGCAGCTTGAGAATTTTTCATTAATAATCTATTTTGTTTTTCTTAGTGAAGGGCTTGTCCTTTTTTGGATATTTTCCTAAAACATTGAAGAATTTGCAAAGTACCTTATAGTAAACTATTTCATTGTGTTAATTTACTATTGATTGATTTTTCTCTCATTATGCAAATGCTTCTTAATAACTCATTATGTGACTCATTGTTTTAGGACATCTCATTTTCTTCCTTTATTCTGTTCTCAGACTCCTGGTTTTGAATTAAGAGCTTGCGATTACCTCAAATAGTATCATTTTGTGACATTCAGTACTCTAGAATTGGCAGTTGCATTTTTTATCTCTTTGTAATCTTTTTAAAATCTAAAATATGCATGTTGTGGTTACAGTCTTTTTCAGTACACATGCTTAACAGGTAGTAAGGGGTTTGTTTTAAACTTTTTTAAAGAATCAGAAGTTTAACAAATGTTTAACATAAAATTCTCTTTTTTCAGAAGAATAAATAGGGTTCTGGCTGGTGTGGCTCAACAGATTGAGCACAGGCATTTGAACCACAAAGGGTTGCTGGTTTGCAGCCTGGGTCCCCAATAGTGGGTACCCGAGGAGCAACAACACATTGATGTTTCTTTTTCTCCCTCTCTTTCTCCTTCCCTTCCCCTCTCTCTAAAAATAAATAAATAAAATATTTTTAAATGAGTAAATAGAATTATACAGTATTTGAAATCTAATTCCCATGTAAATTTAACACTTAAATAATTCCACTATAAATAATTCCACTATTAGTAAATACTTCTGAGCCAATTGAATTTTCACTTTTTATAGTAATT